TCATAAAAGAAACAACCATATGGTTTCAATGAAAGATCAGGAATCTTAAGGCTAACTATATGATGTGAAACCTAAGTTACAATCAGGATAACTGGGCCTGTTTTATAGTTTGGTTTTAACAATAAGATATGTTTTGTCATAACATGGTTAAATATTCTAAATAATAGAATTTTCACAAAATGGGTCAAAAGCAATAGAATAGATCTCACTAATAGGATAAAGTACTATGGCAGAAGTCTATAAAAAGATGTAAAAAGTATACTAGGGTGTATGATGTCACTGGATGAAACCAAAGTACTTACTCTCCTTTTCAACCTTTCTTTGGCTGCCTATATAAAACAGTCATTAAGAAATAAGAAATTCAACTTAATAAAACAGTCTTTTAAAAATACAAAAAAAAGTGCTTTCTCTAATGTCATAAAACTGAAGCAGAAGACAAGGCACACCCACAAACAGCAAATCTATTTTGATTTAAAATTTATTTTTCCATCAAATATGCATTACATAAATCTTAATCTACAGAAGTACAACCAGGAGAAGTAGCCAAGAAGTTCATTTTAACAAGATGTTTACTGACAAGAGCAAACTTTCATTGATATTGATGCATGCCAAGTCATGTATTCTAAAACACTATTCAAAAATCTTCATGATTTTTCAATTATATAACTGTTTACAGGGAGAAGACACAAATACATGCAAATATGCTTTAAATCATTTCCCCAAAAAGAGTTCATTTAACAAGATGGGGAGAGAAAAATCACACTTCATTATTCCAAAATCCAGAATTCCTACCTTATCAATCAAAGGAGGGAGCAAGGCAAGGAAAAAACCTCAGGCCCAATTTCCACATTGTGATTTATCTAATTTATCTAACTTTCCCTGTAAATTTCCCCAGATTAGCTCACAGATATATAGATATACAGACCACAAACTGCAAACTATTTATTTAGTGTAATACTGTATTTTGTTTGTTTTAATTTGAATGCCTTTAAATGTGGAGATGCAATCTCTAAATCACTATGGGCCCCATTATACCCCCGTCCCATACATGGCTGCTTCACACATATTCATTAATTAAATGGCTACTGTCTACCAAAAATAATGATGGATGACACTATACAAAGAGACCCAAACCACCAGAGTTTAAAAGGCAAAGCCCTCTCAACGAGCTCTAAAAGAAATGGCTACAAAAAAACCATCCTGGCTACAAAGTTCAAAGTTTCCAGAAGTAGTCATAACCTTAACCTACAGATTTCCTGATCCAGATATTCACTGAGATTTATCTGATCTGCTGAGTCTTACTTCTTTTATCTCTCTGGATTTCTGCCAACCATCTTGAGTAATTTGTTGTTGTTCAGTCACTCATTCATGTCCAACTCTTTGTGACCTCATGGACTGCAACACGCCAGGCTTCCCTGTCCTCCACCGTGTCCCAGAGCTTGCTCAAACTCATGTCCATTGAGTCAGTGATGCCATCCAACCATCTGGTCTTCTGTCATTCCCTTCTCCTCCTGCCTTTGATCTTTCCCAGCATCAGAGTCTTTTCTAATGAGTGGGCTCTTCACATCAGGTGGCCAAAGTATTGGAGCTTCAGCTTTAGCATCAGTCCTTCCAAAGAACATTTAGGACTGATTTCCTTTAGGATTGACTGGTTTGATCTCCTTGCAGTCCAAGGGACTCTCAAGAGTCTTCTCCAACACCACAGTCCAAAAGCATCAATTCTTCGGTGCCCACCTTTCTTTACGGTTCAACTCTCAAATCCATACATGATCACTTGAAAACCCACAGCTGTGCCTTGTTGGCAAAGTAATACACCTGCTTTTTAATAAGCTCTCTAGGTTGGCATTAGCTTTTCTTTGAAGGAGCAGGCGTCTTTTAATTTCATGGCTGCAGTTACCATTGCAGTGATTTTGGAGACCAAGAAAATAAAGCCTGTCACTGTTTCCACAGTTTCCCCAACTATCCATTAAAAAGTGACGGGACAGGATGCCATGATCTTAGTTGTTTGAATGTTGAGTTTTAGGCAAGCTTTTTCACTCTCCTCTTTCACTTTCATTAAGAGATTCTTTAGTTCCCCTTCACTTTCTGCCATAAGGGTGGTACAATCTGCATATCTGAGGTTATTGATATTTCTCCTGGCAATCTTGATTCCAGCTTGTGCTTCAGCCCGCCCGGCATTTTGCATGATGTACTCTGCATATAAGTTAAATAAGCAGGGTGACACTATACAGATTTGACTCACTCCTTTCCCAATTTTCAACCAGTCTGCTGTTCCATGTCCGATTCTAACTGTTGCTTCTTGACCTGCATACAGGTTTTGCAGGAGGCAGGTAAGGTGTTCTGGTATTCCCACCTCTTGAAGTATTTTCCACAGTTTGTTGTGATCCACACAGTCAAATGTGATCCACATTGACTATTTGGCGTAGTCAATGAAGCAGAGGTAGATGTTTTTGTGGAATTCTCTTGCTTTTTCTATGATCCAACAGATGTTGGCAACTGGATTTCTGGTTCCTCTGCTTTTTCTAAATCCAGCTTGAACATCTGGAAGTTCTCAGTTCACGTACTGCTGAAACTTCTCTTGGAGAATTTTGAGAATTCCTCTGCTAGCATATGAAATGAGTCTAATTGTGTAGTAGTTTCAAGATTCTTTGGCATTGCCCTTCTTTGGGACTGGAATGAAAACTGACCTTTTCCAGTCCTGTGGCTACTGCTGAGTTTTCCAAATTTGCTGGCATATTCAATGCAGCACTTTCACACCATCATCTTTTAGGATTTGAAAGAGCTCAACTGGAATTCCATCACCTCCACTAGCTTTGTTTGTAGTGATGCTTCCTAAGGCCCACTTGTCTTCACACTCCAAGATGTCTGGTTCTAGGTGAGTGATCACACCAGTGTAGTTATCTGGGTCATGAAGATCTTTTTTGTATAGTTCTTCTGTGTACTCTGGCCACTTCTATCTTTTGCTTCTGCTAGGTCCATACCATTTCTGTCCTTTACTGTACCCATCTTTGCATGAAATGTTCCCTTGGTATCTCTAGTTTTCTTGAAGAGATCTCTAATCTTTCCCATTCTATTGTTTTCCTCTATTTCTTTGCATTGATCACTGAGGAAGGTTTTCTCATCTCTCCTTGCTATTCTTTGGAACTCTTCATTCAGATGGCTTTATCTTTCCTTTTCTCCCTTGCCTTTTGCTTCTCTTCTTTTCTCAGGTATTTGTAAGGCCTCCTCAGACAACCATTTTGCCTTTCTGCATTTCTGTTTCTTTGGGAAAGTTTTGATCACCGCCTCCTATACAATGTCATGATTCTTTATCCATAGCTTTCCAGATTAGATCTGTCTATCATATCCAATCCATTGAATCTATTTATCACTTCCACTGTATAATCATAAGGGATTTGACCTAGAGGTCATATCTGAATGGCCTAGTGGTTTTCCCTACCTTGTTCAATTTAAGTCTGAATTTTGCAAAAAGGAGTTCATGATCTGAGCCACTGTCAGCTCCCAGTCTTGTTTTTGCTGACTGTATAGAGCTTCTCCATCTTTGGTTGCTAAGAATATAATCAATCTGATTTTGGTTCTGGCGATTTGATGATGTCCATGTGTAAAGTCGTCTCTTGTGTCACTGGAGGAGGGTGTTTGCTATGACCAGTGAGTAATCTACATGACCCCATTATACAACTGCTCCTCTATATAGGTCTACCAAATAGCTGTGAAAATGCATAATGTCCCTTTAGTACTCTTTTTTAATTAATCAAAATACAATTCATCATAATCAGAGACTGGCACAAAAACAGATACATATGCCAATATAATCTCAATAGGATCCATTCATTGGTAAAATATGTCCCTTAAAATTGGCTCAAAAATTTTTCTTCATGAGATTTTTTTACTTGTTTCTTGCCTATGAAATAAAATGGAGTAAGATGAAAGCCCAATATAAAAAATATATTTTTACATGACACTGAAAATTCACCCAATAAAGACAGCATAACAGAGGCTTAGATATTACCATAAATCTATTCCAAATATAAAGTAAGAATTATATAACACTCAATTACCTACTTATATAAAAAGCTTTAAAAAAACAAAACAAAACAAAACTTGGTCTCAGGATGCCTTATAGTAGTAAAAGGTTTTAAAGACCTGCAAAGAGTTCATGTGAGTTACAGTTACCATATTAGAATTTAAAATTGAGAAATTTTAAAAATATTCATTTATTTTAAAATAACAATAAGCCTAGTACATGTTAATAAAAATAACAATTTAATGAAAAATACTAAGATTTACATACAGAAAAATTTTTAGTGAGAAGTGACAACTGTGTTACATTTTCACAAGTCTCTTAATATCTAGATTAAAAGAAGACAGCTGGATTTTCAAAACTGCTTCCACATTCAAATGCTTATATTGTTATATGCTATATAATCTCTGGAAATTTCCACTATTACTTGTGAGAAAATTAAGAGCAAAAAAATATGTATTATTTTCATACTGTTATGAAGACAGTTTTAGCCTCACAGACCTTGAGAGAATATTGAAGAGTCCCAAAAACATACTCTGAAAATGACTGATTGCTTAAATTTCCAGTAGGAAAATTTTAGAATTAAAAATAATTGTAAAGAAATAGAAATGCAGGTACTGAAGACAGGGTAATGATTTTATTTAAAGAGAGAGCAAGATTACTACTAAAATATAATTTTAGATCCTTATACAAGATATGCAGACATTATAATGCTTTGAAACACCTTGAATTATGTTTCATTTTATCTGTCAGGTTTCATTATAAAATTTGTAACATGTTTTACAAATGTATGGCTAGCTCTAAGACCGAAAAAATTCATATATATTATTTACTCAAAATTATAGACCAGTGATCTAGACAAACATTTAAAGAATAAACTCACAAATTTATTTTAAAATGCACACCTGTTGGAGAATATAATGGAGTCATGATAAGTCTTATGAACATATTCACCAACCAGGGATTCAGATAAACCTACCTCTTCTGCTGCTGCCTCTGAAAGCAGACCTTCCTTCTGAGCACAGGTCACATGGAAATAGGCTCTGCACATCCCTGCATCACAGCTAATGCAAACTCCAGTTCGAGCAAAACGAGGGTCTTCACAGAAGCTACACTCCTACAATGGAATAATAGGAAAAGTTTCAGAGGGAAAACACTCCCAGAACAGAAACTGCCTTCTAATACCAAGCTTCTACAAAATACAAATAGTGAACCAATTGTACCAACAGTATATCAATATAAACAAAAACTGCAGGTAAGCCAAATATTCATAAGAAAAAAAGTAATTATATAGTTCTACCAAACCAAAATTCCACTTATACAATAATGATTATAACAATAAGTAGTTGAGGGCTTACCATGCACTAAGCACTATTCTAAGCACTTTACATGAATTAACATATAAAATTGTTTATATATAGTGTCATTTGACACTATGTCATAATAATATGTGGAAGAAGTACTACAGTCATTCTCATCTTACACATGAGAAAACTGGGGTAAATGCAGTCTTTAACCAGATAATCTTAAAATGATGCTCTTAACCATTAAACTACACTTATTTCAACAATAATATACTATTTGAGAAAATTAAAGAAAACAAATAGGAAGCCAGAGAAAATTCACTAAAAGATCTAGACATTGAAATCAAAGAAATACCACATTTTAAAAATATATTTTAGAGAAGCAGAAGCAATCTTAAGTAAACAACTTTATGAAATTAATAATAATATACAATATAACCAATTATTTATATTCTTCCTATATATAAAAGGAAAAACTGCAAAACTAAAGGTATAAACTGCTGAAATTACCCCAAATGCCAGCACCCTGATTTATTTTTTAATACTTTTAACTAAACCACAGAGAGGAAGAAAAGAAAAAAAAAAAACCTACTATCAAAATTTACTCTATAAATACGAACCTTCACAAAAAAAACTTGCTAATCTATGAAAGACCATCAGTAGACAGTTAAGAAAGAACTGCTTAGTAAATGCATTCTATATAAATTAAATATGAGGGAAACATTTAAAAAGAAAAATGAAGAAGTTTCAATAGATACTAAAAACATCACTGTAATACTCTAACAGTTAGTACCTACTTGGTAAACATTACCAATCTGATATATTAGCACTGTTATCCAAGAACTGTGTTCTGGACACAGGTGTGAAGACACTGCCAACTCCTGACATTCTACTGCCTACTTAAAGGTCTCTTCCATTAACAGTAGTATGTATATGGTATAAAATATCAGCAAGCAGTAATATGAACATGAAATCAAAAAACTGTTAAACAAAGAGAAAGAGAGGAGAGGGGGTTGGAGAAGGGGAGAAATTAAACTACTTAAAAGATGTCAATACCATAAACAGAATCAAATTGTTCAGGATAACAATTTAATTTAATGTAATAAAATTACATTAAATGAGTAATTTAATGTAATATGATGAAATTGGGCAAGGAACTTCTGAGAGAACACAAAGGAAAAATGTCTGACGCTGAAGTCTTAAAAGGCTATAGAACAATCTAACAAAGAAAATAGAATCTTCCTCGATTGCTTCAATCATTTAAAATGCTAGGGAACAAAGCAATTGAGAACACAGGGAAGAAAGTAATCAGGATTAGGAAATGCATAGACAATGTGCTCAAGAGAGATGTCTAAGATAAAACTCACAACATTGGGTTTTGATTTTGCAGATGAGCTAGATAGTACACAATTTTTTTTACTCCTTTTCCTAGTAATACTTCAACATAAAAGCAGGTGATAATGAAAAAAAAAAATCAGCTGATAATTATACATTTAATGACTCATTTTTAATCCAGAGGTCACTGCTAGCCTCAGTTTTATGAAGCAGTAACGGCTTACTGTTTTGTTTTAACTGCTTTCAGATTTATATTTATGGTAACAACATATGCCTATTGAAAATGATGGAAGTCAGTCCCTTTTAGGGTCGATGGAAGCTGCTATCAAAAAGTAGGAACTTCCATTTCCAAAAGTGGTGGACTAGGTAACCTGTATTGCTTCTACTCAACTAGAAAATGTTGACAAATTAGTATTTATTTACTATAGTTTAAAGGCATTAGAGAAGCAACAAGACAGTGTACAGTTACCTGAGGAAAGTAAATTCAATACTAGGGCCTAGAAGTTTTAGCTAATTCTGGAGAGGGAAGCTGTAATTACCCAAACCAAAGCAAAAGATTACTGGAGCGACTGTTAGGAGGATATTCTGGATATAACAGCAGAAACTATCAAAGTTTAAAATCAGAATTTGCCAACAATATATAAGTTTTTCACCTTACCTTTAATATGTTACTAATGCTCTTCAAAAGACTCCCTTCCCAAATGCCCAACAGACAGTAATGGAAAGAGAATATATATCAGTGCCTCATTAGTTCTAGCATTCTAAAGATGTGTGCAGTAATTATATACTTAAGTTTAAATTAATAAGTGTGTAATCTTATCATTCATAATCTAAAACTCAAGTCATAGTGAAAAACCAATTTATAATCTATAGAGACTCATTTGCTAAGGCAGGTTATGTAGTCATAAAATCAGTCCTTGAAATCTGAGTAAAATAATGGGTTTTTCTTGTACTCTTTTCATAATTTCATAAACTTCACTTCAAAAATAAAGTTAGAAATTAAGCTCATATTTGGTCCAACTGGTTAAAAATAAGGATTTAATCTGAGAAGTCACTATACACTAAGCAGTATGTCAAATGCCAAGGAAACAACAGTGATATCAACTATCATTTTCCCCCATAGGTTAAACTAAATTACAAACACATGGAAGAATTTATATATTACTGGCTTTCTGAGGAAATTGCTGTCAACATTAATGATTTAGTCTCTCCAACAGCATAACTGGGCTTTCCTGGTGCTCAGACAGTAAAGAACCCGCCTGCAACTCAGGAGACCCTGGGTTCAATCACTGGGTCGGGAAGATCCCATGGAGAAGGAAATGGCAACTCATCCCAGTATTCTTTCCCGGAAAATGCCACGGACAAAGACGCTTCACAAGCTACAGCCCAAACAGATTACAAAGAGTCAGACACAACAGAGCAACTAAGCACGCACGCAAGCAATAGCATAATTAGTAAGAAGCATTTCTGTAGCTAATAATGATATTAGCAAAAAGCCATATAAACTAACAAGTAAAACTTTCTATTAGACAACCAAAAACAGTTTGTCTCACCTTGGCACCATATTTGGAATAGTTCATTTCTGTTAGTGTTACTGGTCGTAATTTGTCAATATCTCCAAAGGCTACACCAGGAACGTACAGGGCACAAACGATGTGAACCCATCTACAAGAAGAAAAAATATGATTTTGTTATCAAACCTTCTGATAAAATGCTCACATGGAAAATAAACATAAAATATATGTGCCATATCAAATAACTACTGCAAAAATTTTATGGCCAGGTCTCAAAAACTCAGACATACAACTAGAGAATATTAAACACTTATATAATTATATCATTTCATTACAGAAAAGGGGACTGCAATAAGCACTACTTTTCCAGCAGCTTAGCCAAAGCTGAGAGTTAACAATTATAACTGCCTTCCACTTAAAATTCACCACACTTTGCACTTATCTGTTATTCTTAAATATTTGCACAAAACCACTATTCAAACGAAACAAAACATTTTCCTATGCATGGAAAGGCATTCACATTATTTTAAGCACTCTGAGAATTAAGGATCCTAATTTAAGAACTGTCAAGTTACTTCGCATAAATTATATAACATCGATCTTTCCTGCTACTTTTTTCTAAAAGCTATTGGATAATCCTTAAGAAGATATTAAAAAAAAACTCTTGGTGTGCATCTTAGCTTTCTTTCTTCCTAGGCTGAAACTGATCGGTAGGACACTGGACAGAACAGCTGTGATAATATAAGGAAGTCACAGTTCATTCAGCTCATCTGTTCACCATACAACCTATGTACTATGTACATGCCCCCCAAATAAATAAGTTCTAAAGTCTGGATGATGTTACAACACTAAACAACAACAACAACAACATGTTCAGGGTTTCGGTGTACTAAAAAAAAAAAAGTAGGAGTTGATTCTAATTACATTTTTAAAGCACTGTTCTGAAGCTCTATAAAATATATTAGGAACACTTTCTGTTTGCTTACAACCATACAAAATACAGGACAACTAGATTTTGAAATGTAAAAAGATCTCCCTCATCTCTCAGGAAAGAGGGTAAAAATGAGATGCCAAATCTCTCTTAACCTTGTGAAAATATTAACAACAAATTTTGCTTTATCATAGCTTGAGAGGCTATGATTGCTACATGGTTCTGTTTTGTGATGCACTATGAGTCTTAAAGAAATAAGACTGAGAATCATTTTATAGAGGTACTGGGGAGAATAGTTACAAATCTTAAAAATTTATCCTTTTTTATTGGGAAGAAAATTCAAAGTTTTGAGATTTTTTTGATAAAATGTTTTAATCCAACTTCCCAAATGCATCCTGTGGAGTTCAATATAAAGATACACATCTTCAACGAGCAGCTGCTTTCTCAATTTAATTTGTGCAGTTTTTTCATGCTCCACTGATGTATTAAATGCCGCTGTACTCTGTAGGAGTTTATCTTTGATAAACCCAACAGCTGGCTGCTTGCTTCATATTGACCTTCTTAAAATCTTTTAGAACTAGTCACACAAGTACTACAGATTGAAACTGCCATTTCAGTGTGACTGGCACAAAAGTGTATCATTTTCCCCAGCCATACTTGTGAGGATGCCAACTTGAGTCTTTATTAAAATACATACCAAACAGCTGAGATAATTTTGGTCCTTTTTAATATCTGTTGTATATAGATTTTTGTTCATTTGTTTAATTGCATGTACTTTAGAACCTTGTAATTAAGACAAATTGAGAAATCAAAAAGGAATAAACTTCCTTGTTACTTTATCATTCATTTTGCTTGGAGCTATGAAGGCAGATGTTGATTAGGAAATGGAACAGAAAACAAGCATCCCATAAGACCACCAAAAAACAGAGGCAGAATTGTCATTCTAGCATAGAAGCTATTAATAGATTATTTTAAATTTACATATTTTAATAAAGCAAACTAAGTAGAAAAATACTTCTCAAAAACTCATTTCAAATAAGAACTATATTCAACAATCAAACCTGATTTTGAAGTGCTTTGTACTTGCGGTGTCCTTATAACACATTAAAAAAAACTCACTTCAGGAGTTATTTTCATTCCTGCATTTATTCATTCAGTAATTAATTACTGAGGGACTGAACTGAACTGAAGAACAGAGCACCAGGCAGACAGTCAGGAAGTGACAAAGAAGTATGTGAAATGTTTGCAGCATAAGGAGTGATATGCTATTAAAGTATGTGTAATATTTTCTATATTCAGGTTTATAATACCACTAAGGCAGGATAAAATAATCTCTTTAAGAAAAAAAATAAAAATTTAATGATAAGAATGTATTGATGGTCTTCTCACATTAAATTGCATTATGTTCTACTGTAGTATATGTAGCTCCCATCAGACACAGAAGGAAAAACAGTCTAAATGGCCTATGTAATAGAAGAAAATTTCAAAACTTTTTTCATTCTTTCCATACGTAGTTCTTTCTTTTCATCTGTTTTCCATTTGAAGCTAGAGTACTAAATACTTTGTCAAATCTTCGTGGCTTTTTTGCTCTTGATTCAAGCTAGTATTACATCCTTCAAACTGTATCAAGACCTATAATTCCAACTGTACTCTACAGGTAAGTGTGGACATCAACATAAATAAAATGTTCAAAGAGCATAAAAAAATTTTCCAGGCTGCACCAACAAGGGAGGTGTCTACATATATGAAAAATCCACAGAAGTCAATATAAATATATCTCAGTAAAACTGAATGGTTAAAGAAGTCTCCCTTTTCTTCATTCAGAGCCAATTTTACAAGTTAGTTTGTGGACTGAGTATTAGTATATATTACTTATAAGTGTGGTAAGAGAGCTACCTTATAGTTTCTCAATAGAAATTTCAAATTATTGACAAGAGAAAAGTAAAATAAATGCTCTTCCCTAAAAGGAAACTGTGTTTCCCAAAGCTGCCATACTTGATTCACAACCATTTATTACCATAAATTTCAACCTGTAGGACAGAAAAGTTATTAAGAAAGGATTTATGCAGTTACTTTTCTAAGATTACCTTAAATAAATGGAATGATATCAGTAATTTAAAAAAAGCACTAGCACTAGAAGTAGCAGCAGCAGAAGAACTAAGGAGATATTTATTACACACTTAAGTTACAGAAACTTCACTGTTACAGAAATCGTCTCATTTCAGTTCAGTTGTCGCTTAGTCATGTCCAACTCTTTGCGACCCCATGGACTGCAGCACGTCAGGCTTCCCTATCCATCACCAATTCCCGGGGCTTACTCAAACTCATGTCTATTCAGTCAGTGATGCCATCTGACCATCTCATCCTCTGTCATCCCCTTCGCCTCCCACCTTCTATCTTTCCAGCTACAGGGTCTTTTCACGTGAGTCAGTTTTTTGCATCAGGTGGCCAAAGTATTGGAGTTTCAGCTTCAACATCAGTCCTTCCAAGAACACCCAGGACTGATTTCCTTTAGGATGGACTGGTTGGATCTCCTTGCAGTCCAAGGAACTCTCAAGAGTCTTCTCCAACACCACTGTTCAAAAGCATCAATTCTTTGGCGCTCAGCTTTCTTTATATTCCAACTCTCACATCCATACATGACTACTGAAAAAACCACAGCCTTGACTAGATGGACCTTTGTTGGCAAAGTAACGTCTCTGCTTTTTAATATGCTGTCTAGGTTGGTCAGAGCTTTTCTTCCAAGAAGCAAGCATCTTTTAATTTCATAGCTGCAGTCACCATCTGCAGTGATTTTTGGAGCCCCCAAAACTAAAGTCTGTCACTGTTTCCACTGTTTCCCCATCTATCTGCCATGAAGTGATGGGACCAGATGCCATGATCTTAGTTTCCTGAATGCTGAGTTTTAAGCCAGCTTTTTCACTCTTCTCTTTCACTTTCATCAACAGACTCTTTAGTTCTTCGCTTTCTGCCATAAGGGTGGTGTCATCTGCATATCTGAGCTAATTGCTATTTCTCCAAGCAATCTCGATTCCAGCTTGTGCTTCATCAATCCCAGTGTTTCTCATGATGTACTCTGCATATAAGTTAAATAAGCAGTGTGATAAATATACAGCTTTGACATACTCCTTTCCCCATTTGGAACTAGCCTGTTCCATGTCCAGTTCTAACTGTTGCTTTCTGACTTGCATACAGATTTCTCAAGAGACAAGTCAGGTGGTCTGGTATTCCCATCTCTTGAAGAATTTCCTATAGTTTGTTGTGATCCACACAGTCAAAGGCTTTGACATAGTCAGTAAAGCAGAAATACATATTTTTCTGGAACTCTCCTGCTTTTTTGATAATCCAGTGGGTGTCAGCAATTTGATCTCTGGTTCCTCTGCATTTTCTAAAACCAGCTTGAATATCTAGAAGTTCACAGTTCACGTACTGTTGATGCCTGGCTTGGAGAATTTTGAGCATTACTTTACTAGCATGTGAGATGGGTGAAACTGTGCCGTAGTTTGAGCATTCTTTGGTACTGGAATGAAAACTGACCTTTTCAGTACTATGGCCACTGCTGAGTTTTCCAAATTTGCTGGCATATTGAGTGCAGCACTTTCACCATCTCATCTAATCCTCTCAAAAGTGCTAGGAAACTGAGGCATAAAATGGTTAAATCACTTGCCTAAAATCACAGTTAGTAAGAAAAAACCAGAATACCAATACAGGCAGTCTAACTTGAAAGCACATACTTTTAATGCTGTAGTAAATTTCCTAATTCTAGGTCAAAGTGAGTCCAGGCATAAAATAATGCCATTGTCTATGACACAAACCACAGACTCAATTCAATACATCAAATAATGTGCTGCATGTTTATTTTGAGGATAAGCAATGAGCGACAAAAAGTAAAATTTTTGGTCATTTTCCTAGGCATCAATATACAGGGTAGTCATTTTCCCTAGATACCTTCAATATACAGTCTCCAAGATTCCATGATAGACTCTGTGCTATCCCAACTGTATGGCAATACTTCTCAAGGGCCTATCCACCAATTGAGGCAAAAATGAGAAAAATAGCTTTTACTTTACTAAAATAAAACTTATTAAGTTTAAAAAAGAACATTTTTTTGGCATATAATGCATCCTATCTTTTCAAAATGTTAAATATGAAAAATGATCATGATAATTTGTCTAGGTTATTTCACCATTCTTATTAAAATATTAAACATTTAGTAAAATACTGAAATATCTATACATGGTAAAATAAAAAACTGAGTACCCCCTCTTACACGGGGGAAGAGGGTAAGTAGTGATTCATAATATATAAAAGGTTAGAAACTAATCTTATATTAGTCACCCATCCCAATTGGTAGTCTCCTGGGGAAAAACAAGAAAGATGCCAACACTGTTAACAATGACAACTGTTCAAACTTGATACTAAAAATGAGTGTAAATATAGTGAAAAGATAGCTCTCTGGGTCAGTTATCATTTTAGTGCCTCTCAGCTCAAATCCACTCTTCAATATCTGCTTTGAAGTAATGAACAGAATCCCATCAGCACTTCCCAGTGACATGATCTCGGCTCTATCTCAGTCGCGTGGCAAAAGGCACTGTCAGAGGAATGGGCTTCTCTGCAGGACGGGCAGAGGACACCCCCAGTGCTCTGCCTCAGTGACCCTACAGACCCACCTGAAGATCACCTTTCTGTGGCCCTCTCAACCTAGACACCACACACTCCTGGCGTGAAACCACTGCCCAGTTACCCACTTGCCAAGAACTACAGGCCAGGTACTGGCCCAGGCAAACCAGCCAACTTCTCTGCCATCCAGTAGGCTCAGACTACGCTTTCTCTAACAAGGCCTGAACCACAGTCTTGGGGAAGGTGTCTTCCTTCCAAGTCTGTCATTCCCTGGAAACTCTCTCAGCTCTACAGTATTATTCTTCAGAGTTCTTTCACATCTTTATGGTTACTGTTTATTATAGCTTAACACTTCTTTAAATTAAACATCCCCTTTTATAATCATTGTATAGGTTCTATTTACTAATATACTCTTGAAGTCAAACAGATTCAAACAGAGTTCTAATTTAACTACGAACTTGTTCAAAACTATGTAAAGATCTGAGCCTCAGCTTCTACCTATAAAATAGGCAACTTTACCATATCTCTTATCATACAGTCATTCCTAAGATTAAATGGCATTATAGGTTATAATGGCAAATGCAGATACTCAATAAATGATCTTTTCTCCTCTTTGCCCTGATACGTAGCCTCCTGTCCACTTACTCTATGTCAAAAAGACACATAGAAGCAATCAAATGAAAATGTCTAACTCAGAAAATCATAAATACAAAAATAGAAGCATATACATTATAAAGCAGGTATATTAACACAAAAGAATTATGACATCAACCTTCCAGCATCTGTCTCCTTGAAAATTCCATCCTGATTGGGACACAGTTCACAGCTAGGGGAAACACCACATTTACAGGCATCACAAAACCAAGGTTCAGTGGAGTTTTCAGAAGCTGAACTCATAATCGAGTCACTCTCTCCATCAACTCCATAACAACCTAAAAAAAAGAAATGTATGATTAGAGTTTACTTTTTAAACTCACATTTATAAAGTGACAAAGAAAAAGGGAAAGGAAGTAGAGAATAATTCTGAAAAATTAATGGTTTAGAAAAATGATATTAAAGTCAAAACACAGAACTGAAATCATTTTATAAAAATATGTTTTCACATACCATAGTGTATACAATGACATAACCCTTTAAGACAAGTTTAGGTCTACCGGAAAGCATTACAGAAGGGGAAAATTTTTACTGTTCTTTAAAATTTTTTTAAAAATACATTAAAAAATGAGTTTTCCTTATACAGAAATCAGAACTATTGAGTCTAGGAACTATTAATTAGTAAATATTTTCAAGCTACCTTTGTACTGAGCATTTAAATATATCTAAAAGATCATGATCATGTAAAATATACAAACAAAAACCTCTGATCTAATTTTGGAGGTGGTAGGTTAAAACACAAATTCATACAACCATAAATGCAAAGTAAGTACTAGTAAAACGAAAATAACAGACACACACATACATAAATTAAGGCTACTGAGCAATCTGAATAGTTTAGATTAGAGATAAGCGAGTTGCATTCACAGTTGAGCCAGTCTAGACCTATACAGGGTATCTGATCTATTTAACATTTATAATTCTTCTATCTTCTGTAAAAATATATCCAGAACTGAAATGAATGAAAAGAAGGGTAGCATAATCCTTCACATTTTAGAGTAGGACATCAACCCTTATTGTGGCTTATAATAACCAGTACTTATCTGGTTAATTACAATAGTCATGACTCCTAAATAGTTTTGTTTTGTTTTTTACCTAAATGGTGCTGGATGTACCACAAACTTCATATTATCTCTCTTTTTCTAGAAAGGAAGACACTGCTCTCATGACAAAATGTACTTAAGAAAAATAATTTAATACACATTAAAAATTAAATAGATAACAACCTTATTCTATTAATAGTTCCAGTTATGCCCATCATCTTTAGGCTTGGGCATTTCTCTGATCTCCTAAGACACATTTATTACCTCTCAAGATAGGTCACTTCTATAAATAGCTTACTATTAACCATCCCAGGATAATTCTGACCAGGTTTATCCTAACAGGGTGGTCTTACTACCAAATTCTAAGGAACACTCAAAGTACCCTCCAATAAATTAAAAATTAAATTTAAATTAGCCATTAAAATACCACTCTGAGAAACATATGTAAGTAACAATTATCTCTCAAAAGGTTTCACCATAGAGGTAAGTTTCCATGCATCCAATATATGATCATGTGACTATTAAAACTGATTAAACACTACACAGACAACAAGAGCCTGATGAAAACTGTCTTCTCACAACCACCAAAGATACCCAAATTGAAACAAATAAGCATGTAAATAGGTATTGAATCAAATCAAAGAACCATGCAGGCTAGTAAAGAATTTTAAAGTAACAATTTACTAAATGTTGCTGATAAATCAAGTCCTGCACATCTTACCCACCTAGTACCACTCAATATAGATTATAATTAATTATTCTGGTAAGCAGAAAACGAAAAACTTGCTTGCAACTACAACTTGGATAAGCTGCTTCAAGCAAATACCTTAACTATTGTCAAACTTATGCTATTCTCTGATTTCACTGACTACGCCAAAGCCTATGACTGTGAGGATCACAACAAACTGTGGAAAATTCTTCTAGAGATGAGAATGCCAGACCACCTTACCTGCCTTCTGAGAAACTTGTATGCTGGTCAAGAAACAACAGTTAGGGTCGGACATGGAACAACAGACTGGTTCCAAATTGAGTAAGGAGTACATCAAGGCTGTATAGTGTCACCCTGCCTATTTAACTTATATGCAGAGTACATCATGTGAAATGCCGGGCTAGATGAAGCACAAGCTGGAATCAAGATTGCCGGGAGAAATATCAATAACCTCAGATATGCAGATGACACCACCCTTACGGCAGAAAGCAAAGAGGAACTAAAGAGTCTCTTGAATGATAGTGAAAGGGTAGAGTGAAAAAGCTGGCTTAAAACTCAACATTTGAAAAACTAAGATCATGGCATCTGGTCCCATCACTTCATAGCAGATAGATGGAGAAATAATGGAAATAGTGAGAGCCTTTATTTTCTTGGGCTTCAAAATCACTGCAATGGTGACTGCAGCCATGAAACTAAAAGACATTTACTCCTTGGGAGAAAAGTTATGACCAACCTAGACAGCATATTAAAAAGCAGAGACCTTACTTTGCCAGCAAAGGTCCGATTGTCAAAGCTATGGTTTTTCCAGTAGTCATGTATGGCTGTGAGAGTTGGACTATAAAAAAGGCTGAGTGCTGAAGAACTGATGTTTTTGAACTGTGGTGTTGGAGAAGATTCCTGAGAGTCTCTTGGAGAGCAAAGAGATCAAACCAGTCAATCCTAAAGGAAATCAGTCCTGAATATTCATTGGAAGGACTGATGCTGAAGTTGAAACTCCAATACTTTGGCCACCTGATGCGAAGAGCTGACTCATTTGAAANAATCAGTCCTGAATATTCATTGGAAGGACTGATGCTGAAGTTGAAACTCCAATACTTTGGCCACCTGATGCGAAGAGCTGACTCATTTGAAAAGACCCTGAAAGATTGGGAAAGATTGAAGGCAGAAAGAGAAGAGGACAATAGAGGATGAGATAGTTGGATGACATCACCGACTCAATGGACATGAGTTTAAGCAAGCTACAGGAGTTGGTGAAGAACAGGGCAAGCCTGGCATGCTGCATCCCATGGGGTCGCAGAGAGTCTGACATGAATGAGTGACTGAACAACAAATGTTATTCAAAGGTTTTACAATAGTGAACCTCAACATAATCCAAAGGTCATATGGAAGAATGCTAAAAATTTTAAAGGAGTTAGACTATTATGCACAAGAAAAAGATTCAAAATATTAATTTCTTTAAATCATCTAATTGTGGTTCGTAATAATTATCACCTTCATCACTTCTGTTTGTATACACATTTTTAAAATGATAAACCATAAAATGAAAAGGAAATAAAATTTCCCTCTTGGGAGTAGTTATTATTGATTGTCAGCAAGATAAGAACATTTTTCAGTAAAAATAACAGTAAGCAAACAGTTTATTTGAAGAAAAATCACAAAACAATAAAAAATAGTGAATTTGATTTCTCAAACCATTACGTAATACCACAAGAAAAAACTATTTTCTTTACAAAATAATATTTTTCAGGCAAATTTTTTCATTAGTATTCACATGAAGTCCCAAGATAATAAACCCTCCAAATGACTATCCATTTTACGCATCTCATTCACCTATATCAAGGTAAATAATAGCAGCTAACTCTTTTAGAGTAAAGCAAAATTTCAATTCTAATTTTTAAAGAATATATCACACACTTGACAAACATCTGTACAATGATTAAATCACCTACAAAAACCTCAGAAGTGATTTCTAAGAGTCTCTTTTAGGAAATCCCTAGTTTGCAACCTAAAACACTGGTATCACTTAAACTTACAGAACAATGAGCAAATGGATAAGTATTTCTTCTTCAGCTTCACTGCCCCTGAAAAATGATCCACACTGTGTTATTACCTTTACAGAGTCTTCAACTTGCCACTTTTCCACATTTCTCTGCCATATCTGCTGTGTCTACTGGGCTCTAGACTGAAATTCTAACATTTACATCCACTTTAATCCATTTATATTAATGACTAAATACATTTTAACATCTTTTTCTTTCTTTCATACAAAACCAAAGTTCAGTTCAGTTCAGTTGCTCAGTCGTGTCCAATTCTTTGCGACCCCGTGAATCGCAGCACGCCAGGCCTCCCTGTCCATCACCAACTCCCAGAGTTTACTCAAACTCATGCCCATCGAGTCGGTGATGCCATCCAGCCATCTCATCCTCTGCCATCCCCTTCTTCTCCTGCCCCCAATCCCTCCCAGCATCAGGGTCTTTTCCAATGAGTCAACTCTTCGCATCAGGTGGCCAAAGTACTGTAGTTTCAGTTTCAGCATCAGTCCTTCCAATGAACACCCAGGACTGATCTCCTTCAGGATGGACTGGTTGGATCTCCTTGTAGTCCAAGGGACTCTCAAGAGTCTTCTCCAACACCACAGTTCAAAAGCATCAATTCTTCGGCACTCAGCTTTCTTCACAGTCCAACTCTCATGTCCATACATGACCACTGGAAAAACCATAGCCTTGACTAGATGGACCTTTGTTGGCAAAGTAATGTTTCTGCTTTTTAATATGCTATCTAGTTTGGTTATAACTTTCCTTCCAAAGAGTAAGCATCTTTTAATTTCATGGTTGCAATCACCATCTGCAGTGATTTTGGAACCTAAAAAAATAAAGTCTAACACTGTTTCCACTGTTACCCCATCTATTTCCCATGAAGTGATGGGACCAGATGCTATGATCTTAGTTTTCTGAATGTTGAGCTTTTAGCCAACTTTTTCACTCTCCTCTTTCATTTTCATCAAGAGGCTTTTTAGTTCACCTTCACTTTCTGCCATAAAGGTGATGTCATCTGCATATCTGAAGTTACTGATATTTTTCCCGGCAATCTTGATTCTAGCTTGTGCTGCCTCCAGCCCAGCGTTTCTCATGATGTACTCTGCATATAAGTTAAATAAGCAGGGTGACAATATACAGCCTTGACGTACTCATTTTCCTATTTGGAACCAGTCTGTCGTTCCATGTCCAGTTCTAACTGTTGCTTCATGACCTGCATACAGGTTTCTCAATAGGCAGGTCAGGTGGTCTGGTATTCCCATCTCTTTCAGAATTTTCCACAGTTTATTGTTACATACATAGTCAAAGGCTTTGGCATAGTCAATAAAGCAGAAATAGATGTTTTTCTGGAACTCTCTTGCTTTTTCGATGATCCAGCAGATGTTGGCAATTTGATCTCTGGATCGTCTGCCTTTTCTAAAACCAGCTTGAACATTTGGGAGTTCATGGTTCACGTATTGCTGAAGCCTGGTGTGGAGAATTTTGAGCAT